CAGTCAATCAGTACGTGGTGAACACTTTGAAGTCATGAGAGTTCGTGTTCTCTCCTTTCTGCTATTCGGCCAGCCGGACCACTGCACTGATGATGCGTGGCGAGGTGTGGCGAAGGAAGCTGAAGTGCAGCTTGACGAGAATAATGACGTTGTATTCAGGCAGGTAGTGGACCTGGACTTAGTGGATATGGTCCAGCATGCTCTGTCTGCCATCAAGGAACATCTTGATAGTACTGATCAATTCCTACTCGGCCACATCTTGGGAATCGCTGAGCAGGCCGAGGAGCATTCCCTTGACAATCCGCCAGAGAGTTCATGGTTTACGACCAATATCCAGAAACTAACCCAGGGATATCCTGGCTTCCGGTCAAACGTTCACTTTGCAGTTCTCATTCTTGTCATCAAGCATGTTTCCGATCATATACGAGCTCTGATTTGTGATTCCCGTGATCTCACTGGAGAGCACAGGCGCAGTTGTGCCAAGAGCGAAGAAGCAACGAATCGTATAAAACTTGAAGGAAACACCTGTTTCAAGTTGGAGTTGGATGCCGGCATTCCCAAAGCTATTGGGCTTTACAGCAGTGCGATCCGGCAGAATCCGTTCAGCGCCATATTGTACAGCAACCGGTGCATCTGCTACTTGAAGCAAAGCAAAACCATGTTGGCCTTGGTCGATGGAAAGTGCTGCTCGGTGTTAGCACCAACGTGGGAAAGAGGTCAGCATCGCTACGTGCAAGCCTTGATCGAGAGTAGGGGCTATGCCAAAGCCAAAGAAGCCATCGAGGCGGCACGCAAGCTATGCAAAGCAAAATCTGACCTAGAGACGCAGTACAGAGGGATTTTAAGTGCAATTGCCAAGCGCGACGGCGAGCTTCAATCACTGTTTGACGACATGCCAGAGCTGGTGACTGATGACGAGGATGACGACATGCCAGAGCTGGTTACGGATGACGACAGCGGGTCCAGAAGAAAGACCACAAAGCGCTGTGCATGTAGCAGTGAGTCTGAGTGTCAGCAGCGCGACGGCGAGCTTCAATCACCGTATGACGACATGCCAGAGCTGGTGACTGATGACAAGGATGACTGCAAGTGATGATGATAGGAGTACGCAAGACAAGTCCAGAAGAGAGACAATTAATTTTGATATTGGTACGACGGGCATATCTCTCGCTTCCATATTATTATTATTACTTGTATTATTATTATAGACAACACCTCATGGCATGAAAAGAAAATCAGCCAGCACGGGAGATGTGGGTGTTAACCAACCATGGTGAATAAAATAAAAAAGTAATGGTCAAGACGGAGAAGCATGGGAGGGACAGGTGATAGTGAATCTAGTGAGTAGATTTAAATGCATCCAGGGTACTGGCATTGCGCGTAGTAGCGGGCAGCGCAAGCCAACCAGAGTAAGCAACAAAGAGTGGAGAGTGTACAAGGGAGGACGTTTTAGCCAAGGGGAGGGCAACAGAGCATCTTGTCTGGGAGCAATCTGTGGTTCGGTACCAGTTGTACACGCTAAGATGAGAAGGATGTAAAGCTAGTTTAAATTTGTGAGCAAAAGTGCAAATTAATTTTTGACGGTGGGTTGACAGTGGGCAAGCATTTGCAAGGACATACAGGGAAGCAGAAGAGTAGAGAGGGGTAGACTAAACAGGATACGAAGAAGTTTCCTATGGTGGTTTTCGAGACGCTCAGCGAGAACCGAGGACAAGCCACACCAGCTAACAGCAGCGTACATAAAAAGAGGCAGGATGTACAGTTTGTAAAACAAAAGTTTGCATTTGACAGGGAGGTGGAAACAATGGGGACGTATAACACCTAGGGCAGAGCTTGAACGGCTGCAAAGAGCATCAATATGGTAAGACCAAGAGAGACGATCATCAAGCATTATTCCCAGGTGTTTATGGTTGGAAACAACCTTGCAAGCATCCCACCTGTCCCCGCTGCTTTTCATCATCTTCATCAATTACCTCCCTAGCCTTATGAAGTCTTCAACACCCTTCGTCTACGCCGATGATGTTACTTTGCTTTGTCCCAACACAACAGCCAGCCAGGCTACTACTAGGCAACTACTGATGCAGTCAGATGTTGATGCATGTCAAAGCTGGGCCCGCAATTGCGGTGGTGAGTTTTCAGCGGCCAAGACATCAGTCCTTTCCACCAGAACCGGTCCTGCATACTTCCTAGACGGCGCACCATTGCAGGTTGTGTCCACCATTAAACATCTGGGCGTCCTGTTTGACTCAAGGCTATCATTTCAGAATCATTTCGAATCTGTGCTCTCGAAGTTCCGACAACGTGTGAATCTGCTATGTTATTATGTCAAATCGTCTAACAACAAAAGCACTCATGTCATGATCTTATACAAAGGCTACGTGCGACCGGTGGTGGAATATGCTGCAGCCGTATGGTCGTGTCGTCTCACAGCAAAGCACACAGAAACCTTGGAGAAAATCCAAGCGCGTTTTGTACGGTCATACCTCAAGAAGAAGATTAAGTTCCAGTACGAAACTACAAGCTAGCGGTGCTCTAGTCTCTCAAGTATCGGCGGCAATTCATGTGTTTGGTTACGCTGCATAAGTTTATCTTCCACCACCCTAGTTATCTCTCACAATTAGTTTCAGTGTTTCTAAAAGTGCTCGGCGGCCTAACAAAATCATTTTACCTAAATACAAGTCGTTATCAAAGTCTATGTTCCTATTTAGAACTTCTGTACTTTGGAACTGTCTACCACCGAAGATGACCGCTGCAGACTCCTGATCCCTGCAGGAATTTAAGAAGAGGTTACGTCTATAAAAGTAATAATAACTTTATTAGGATGACCCAAAGGCTGACCGCCTATCGTGGGGTCCATTGCATTGAAGGATGATGGTACAAGAGAGTACAGATTGGGAAAGGGGGGGGGACTACGATGTACAGGGTAACGGCATGCCAGCGAATAAACCGGAATACTGACAAGAATGTTTGCGCAGCTCTTTCTTGAATACATGGACAGAAGATTCCGAAGTCAATGGGGCCACGTGGGTGGGAGACAATTCCATAAAAGGGAGGTTTTGAATAAAAAATGTGATTTGGATGTTGTCAAGGCTTTGGGGGGGGGGGGATAATTCTATATACACACGAGTATGCCCATAGAACAACTGGCATTCCTACACCTCAGCAGTAATTGCACATAACACTTTCCTTTGAAGTTTTATTGTCTCATTCCATGGGTCTGGCTAATTTATTCTATCCCCCCCCCCCCCTGTTATGCTACCTACTAGTATTCAATATCGCACAAGTGGAGAACCCCTCGATAGGCTATCTGGGAAATCAGGATGGTGTAAAAGTGACATGGATGAGATTGGGGGAAGGAACATTATTTCGGTTATAGTCAGGTTGGGTCTAAGTCGCCATGTTTGCATCCAGCGTAGGACACTGCATATCTGAGCCGACACTCGAGATACAAGAGCCGCTGAGGACGAGGACACTGGCAGTAGGGTTGTCTCCTCCTCCTCCTCCTCCTCCTCTCTCTCTCCCTCTCTCTCTCCCCCCCCCCCCCGACCTCCTCTCTCTCTCTATCATCATGCATGCTTCCCACTCTCATAATATTAATTTTATCTTATAAGTTTGCATGCTGCACACTGTCATGCAATATTTCTGTCCTTTGTCATTTTGTGAGAGCGAGTCTGCTCAAGAAACCTCTTCCTGTGAATGAAAATGCAGAAAGCCTCACCACTGCCACTAATTTTGTGAGAGCTTGGACAATTCATTTGTCCAGGCAAGAAGGCAGCAATGCCTGTTCATTCTGGCGAAATAAAATGTAATGTACCAACAAGGAGCTTTTGGACTAAATTAAATGACGGATTAAAGTCGGTTTGTCCAGCTTTTCAATACACTCTTATGATCCATGGACGAAATTAACAACCAGAGGACGAATCTTTGGAGTTGGACGAAATAATTTTCTGGTTCTGAAATCGGAACCTCACTCAAGCGCTTGCAAGGGGCCTGTGCCTAGCGCCTGGTACATCTACATGGTAGATCTTTACTGTTTAGGCACCCAAGTCCCAGGATGTAGGCCTTGACGGATTATGCTAATATTTTCGTGAAATTATGCTTTTCGCATTGCTGAAAAAATTCCCCGATTATGCTATTTTTATGCTAAAAGTTATCATAATATTATTATGCCGCATTATCATGATTATGCTTACATATGCTGCTAATGTACATGATGGTTCTGTGCAAAATAACAGGGGAGTTTTTTGTAGAGGGCGTTGTACTGCAGTAGCAAAAGTTCAACGGGGTCAACGCACCGTCCGACCAAGCTACGAGCGTTAATGATTGTAGTGGACTGGACATATTATCAAGGGAGTCGTAAACCTCCGACTTCCTGGTGCATCTACTTGTACTTGTACTTGTAGAACATGTACGACTGTATGCGAAAAGGCGGATTATTCCAATTTATGCGATTCGTATGCAATTAGCCTCGAATTATGCGATTATTCGATTTTGGTAGGAATTATGCGAAAAATTATGCTAGCATAATCCGTCAAGGCCTACCAGGATGGCAGAGGACTCGTATCTGCTCACGGGGAGACAGATGAATCCCGGTACATACCACCCTGGGGCCTAATAATAATTTACAACTCCGCCTGAGGAGAGGGCAACTTTAATAGTTGCTGTTTATTTTAGAGGAAGAAATGTTTCTCTATCTACGGTCGTTGCAAGCGGCCGCGGCCGCGGGAGCGCGATATACGCGCGATAGCGTGTGGAGGAAGCTACACACATTTGTACCACTGTACGAAGCAGTTCCCGCAGTCCTGCAGATTCGAAGGAAAATAGGAAAACCTGGCTGAATTACCGTTTGTACTTGGCAACAGTGGGTTTTGAAGAAAACCCACCTACTTCGTACGGTGTTGTGCATGCAGCGCAGCGCGCAGGGGGACAGGGCGTGTTCATGGTGATCTGGGTGATCGTGTGAGTCCTGAGTTGAGCCTGGATCGAGTAACCAGCCTGGTCGGCCAGGGGCAAGATTTGTTGCGGGAAGACCTCTGATCGGAAAGACAACCTCAAAAGGTGGAAGTAACATTAGCTGAAGTGTCTCGCGCCACCAGTGACCTTGGAACTAACTTGCAGAAGTCGAGGTGGAGAAACACTGCGAAGTGAACACATCGGAGCTTTTGGAAAGACGAATGTGGTTTCCTTGCCTTGAAGAAGGCTCGGATCCTGTTGTTGGTTTTTAGCTCAGGGCAAATTTGGCTGTGTGACCCTCACATCACCGTTTCGACGGTGTAGAGTTTAGGTTAGGACTTTCTCACCGAATTTTCACACAAGGGAGAGGTGGTGTCGAGAGAGAGGCACGTCCGGCCATGTGGAGCACAGACCTTTGGGTAGGTAGTGGAGATGAGAAGAGTTGACAGGACAGCTTACACAGCATTGCGAGCCCAGTTGAGAAATATAATGGTGAAAACTTCGTGTACGTCGTTTATTATTTGGCCAGGATCAATATGATGGCGTCTGTAGCCACTTGGACACTCGCGTCGATCAAGTCAAACGGATCTCAGCGTTCGTCAAGGATCGGATCAAGGTCGAGCAGGACTATGCCAAGGAGTTGAGGTAAGTGTCCGGCCTCCGGCGCCAATGAAATACATGCAATGCTCACTGCTCCAAAGGACCAAACCTTCCCTTGAGTTGGAGTTTTCTCATCTTTGAATGTGGTTGCTTATTTTCTATTTCGTGGTACATGTATGTGATGCGTGTGTGTGTATGTGTGTGTCTGTTCGTGTGCCTGTGCGTGTCTGTGGTTGTCTGTGTTCTGTTTTTCAGGAGGTTGTCCAAGTCTTACAATAAAATGAAGCCAGAAGAGACAAAGTAAGAAGTGACATTTTCAGAGCACTTACATTGTATAGCTGAAGACTCTAGCCACACTGCCCTCTCTGCACTCACTATCCTCTCTGCCTTTGCTCTTTCTAACCTACGTAGTAGTAATGCGTGCGTGCGTGCATGTGCGTGTGTGTGCGTGTGTGTGTGTGCACGCGCGCACGTGATCCACTCTGATTTAGCCGTCCACACTAATAGCAAGTATTACCTTCACCAGGGGCGGGGGAAATGCAGTTCGATCCCAGGACAGATACCCTGATACCATCAATCCTTTTTCTGCACCTTGTCCTCGCCCATTTCCTTTGGTGTGGTGAGCCGATAAGTGGGATCATAAGTCCACCCAAAGTTTTCAGGATTTCAGGGGGTGTCGGTTGTTAGGCAATTCGATAGCCGATTGAGTCATCTTTACAAGATTCCTTTTGAATCTCCCCTCTCCCTGAAAGACACACGCACCCACACACACACACACACACACACACACACACACACACACACACACACACACACACACACACACACACACACACACACACACACACACACACACACACGCATGTACTTGCGTTTGCGTACTGCCGGAAACTAGTCGGTCGCGCATCACGGTGACTTCATGTGCACCATCTAATGACATGGCGTCCTTTCATGCGGTTTACCGCACGGATTTATGAAGTCAGACATATTCCGATTTATTTACATCAATCGCACAAAATTAGGTACATTTCTCTTGTAAACCCTGTCAGTTTGAGAATTTAGACAAACACCGAACAAATTTTAGCCGCGACGAGGATCGGGAGGAATCCATCATTATTATTTACATAGCTACTACCATCACGTCGACCGAGTGAAGATCGAAATGATAATGCCATTAATGGAGTGGAGAGAAGAAGACCTGAACTAGAGTGCTTGAGAGACTATGTAGTGTCACATGAGAATTGCTTCGTTAGGAAGGCTCTACTTTTGAATGGAGAAGCCCAACGTCGCTGATTTGCATCGCCGTTTTCAAGCGCTGATCTGCAGTCGGAATGTTTTTGTAAATTATTCGTAGTTGTGGACGTGGATGGATTCAGCGCTCTGTTCTCTCAGCAAGCCTACTCAGTCCAACACGAAGGACTTCCATAAGCGAAACAACGTGCTCCTCGAGCAAGTGCAGCTCGGGGTAATATGGCCAATGCCACGGGAGACCACCTCGTGCCTGCATAAGGCCAAGAATTGATGGCAAGACATCTTTGATGAGCGCCTTCGACTTCAAGGACGCAATATATCTCCTCAGCAGTAGCTGCAGCGCTCTTGCTGAAAATATCACTGCAAGCATGCACTAGGCATGATTTAGTGAAGAGCTACTTGTACTAGCGATTGGAGATTTGGTGTTGGCTTCCAGGGCTGGGCATATCTGCTCCATCATGGTAACTGGTGCGTTTGTCAAGGCAGTGCAGTTTCTGCTGCTGTTTCACAAGCCATATGCGCAGTGAGTAGGAATTTGTTGTATGATAGCTGAGGATCACCAGCCTTCATGGACAAACCTATATTGGGACTGGTTGCTGAACAGTGCACACCTAAATCTCTCAGCAAGCTCTCTTGCTCAGCTGGTGACGAACACTATATACCCGCTGCTTTGGGCTTGCAGCCCCGTCTCCCGACCGTAGACCGATCGAAAGGCTGTCACGGTCCTGTGACCATCGGCGTACAGTTGACGCTGATGGGGCATCGGATAAAGTGCTGGCGTCAGTAATTGTCTGGTATACCTGGAATCTACATCTACAGCTGGTTTTGACTTCCAGCCATCCTTCGTTTGTTATGCTTGTGACTATCATGCCAGCAAGTCGATCAGCAGCATCACCTCGCATCTTTGATGGTGAGGCCTGCAAAACGTCACCGACCAGTGACGATGCTCAAAAGGGCACCCTACCAGAGCTGGCGCAGTGTATGGTGCAGTCTTTCATGAATCCATGAACTATGCTGTTTGGCTGCTGTAGCTCTGACGCTTGCGTGTGTGCCTTACATTAAGGGCAGCGGGCCGTCTGCTCTAGCCATTTGCCAATGCATGCACGGCTGAACGTCTACCAGCAAGCTGCAAACACTTCTCTCCCTACCACACTGTGACATAGTGGACATTGTGCGTGTGTTGTTGCATTCCTATCTGAACTGAACTGTTCTGGATGCAGAGATTTACCCACTAAGCCCTAGAGAAATATGAATAAATACTATACTACTACTATTACTAAACTTGGTATGCGGTTGTGACGCGCTGCTGCTCATCAGATTCGGTCCATGCGACGCTCGTGTTTTTAGTTTTGTTATTTTGTCTTCCTTTTTTGAATTCGTAAACCGAACAGACTAAACTATCCAGTGATCAGGTACTGGTGTGGTGGGGCAAGGTTTTGTTGGTGATGCTGCTGTCAGTGGTGGCGGCGTGCATGTGCTCGTGCTTGCGGGCGATGGCCCGCGTTTTCTCCCATGCCGCAAGTTTGTCTTGCGTTTGTGTTCTGCATTTGGACTTCCTGCCAGGCTTGGGCTTGCATTTCAAACAGTTTGTCCCACTGTGTGGCTCCCAGTCTTTGAGCGGTGTACATCCACCTCTAGAGCTCCAGAGAATGTTGGGCCCCTGGCAGTAACAGTGCATTCCATGGCCAATTTTCAAGTGTGGCAAAAATGTTCAGGGTGTATTTGGTTTCATCCACATTGAGATGAAACACTGCCAAAATGGATTCAGTATGATCTGCCACACGATACTTCGTCTGTCCACTCCTTGACGCGAATTTCTCCCCTCCAATACGACAACACGACGACAGGAAGCTAACATGAGCCTCCATTTCTGAACAAAATTACGTCTCTAACATGGCCACGAAAAGCTACAGTTATGCACGTCAAGCTTAGGACTACACGAAATCGAAAGGCTAGGACATCGAGGTATACTAGAAAATTGTCTGCGAGGCGGAGAAAATTCGCTGACGAGGTTGGCGAGCCCTGGAAATCGAGCGACGATCCAAAAATAATTGCACCCACGTCGAGAAAGAAACCATGCGTAGCGCGTGGGTAACCCAAGAAGATCGCTCGAGCGGCGGCACAGTCGAAGGCAAGGCCAGTCCAAGCTCTAAACTCTATCGAATGACCTGGCAAACACCCGTGGTTTCGGTTGACCTTGCCCGTTTGAGATGGAAGTCGAGCGAAATTGCAAACATACGACTAGGCCAGGTCGCGTAAAAAATGAAAAAGATTAAAATTTGGCCGCCATATTTAATGAACGCGCATCGCATGCATGGGACAGCCGTAGCATGTGTTCCCCGATGCTTTCTGGTGACATGCGTACAGCATATTTCTAAGTATTGGGATGTGATGCATACTAGTATAAAAATACACACCACCCATCCTGAAGAAAGAACTAGCTGGCCTACTTTGTACACCACCCGCCCTGTTTGAGGACTGTAAAAAAAGTCAACTCACGCATTCACGTTGCCCCACCCCCCCACGCATTGCCAAATATGGATTGCATGAGTATGCTGGGATCAGCAATGCACTGTCCAATGCCCCCAGAGTAGACGGCCATGCACAGTTGGCTGTGTGGGGTGTTTATAGTACAAATCACGTCATTGCGCAATGGGCTTTGCTGTACGTTAGACATAGCTGATTTTGCTAGCAATTCTGCTAGCAAAATATCGAAGAATTTTGAAAGGGAAATTGTTGGCAAAACAGAGCAAAATATCGGTGTGTTCACTGGAAATTGGGAGATTTTACACTTATACGGTGCACGTGACTCATTTTACCAACACATGACTCACTTTTTCTCATTTTGCCAACACGTGACACTTTCGGTCAGTTTTCCCACGCGTGACACACATTTTGGAGCAAAAAGGGAGCAAAATATCGAGCGGTCTGGCAAAATGAAAGCAAAATATCGACGATGAGCCAGCAAAATTTTGCGGCAAAATATCGAAGCTTTACTGGCAACATCGGGCTTTGCCTAATGTACGTGCGCAACACAGAACACATGAAAATCGAATATACAACTAGACTTGAGTCGGGGAACACTCTCCAACGAACGTTCTCCAGAGCCGTTCTTCAACACTTCTGACCATAAGTTGTGAGGAGCACCAGTTGTTTCAATGCGGGTCTGACTAACATGTGTATTGAAGTGTGTCTCAGTCTGACTCGCTTGCAAAGAGTCAAACGATGGGAAATTCCCCACTCGGCACAAGCACTGCTGCAACCCTTCAGCTGATAGCATCGGAATACTTGTTCGATATAATTATTTCTTATCGAGAAAGTAGCGAGTAATCGATTTGCTTCAGCACAAATTACTTGCACTTGAAAACACCTCCGCTCCACAAACCTCACCTCAATAAATCGATGATGCCATTTTCACTTTGTCCGTCGATTTATAGTAGTAGTAGTAGTAGTAGTAGTCTTATCCAACCCTTTTCATTCAACATCTGCTCTCATCGGATGAGTTCCCACTATCCTATGGAACCAAACAGCATACTACCTGATGGCCTAACTCTTTCTTCTTTCTTTCTTTTCTACCCCCTCCCCCCCCCCCCCCCCCCCCCCCCCCTGGTGCGCGTTGTGTGCAAGGATACCGAGACCCCTGGTTGGAGGAGTCCACAACGCCCCACCTACACAGCTGCGCTAGTGGATACTAGTCAATAGTTGTTTGTTCTGTCAACCCACAACTTCTGTGTTCTAGTTGTTTCTTCGTTCTCCCTGCATGCAACTGTGTTATCTTTCTTGTTCTTATTTTTGTCCCAAGCCGGGTTTGTGTTCTTTGTAAAAAAAACAAAAACAAAAAAAAGCTTGTCTGAAGTGACTACTTGCTGTTGTGTAGTGCTGCTGGTCTTCACAAGCGTTGTGTGGTCTCGTTTGGTGAGAAAAAAAAGAACCTGCGAAACCTTATCTCACCTGCACCGAATAGATATACCATTTGCCAGTAATTCGCCCATTGTGCATCGTTAGGGCATTGTTGAGGAAGGGGAGGCAAAACACTAATGCACTGTGTGCCGTGTTTTCCTCGTTGACAGGTTTCCGTCGACGGAATGCTTTTCGAAGATCGTGGCTCATGCCGATGAGCTGGCTCAGCATCACGAGTCCTTCAGCACCAAGCTACAGTCGGACGTTTACGACGCCCTCAAGAAGCTGACTGTCGACCAGACCAAAGAGAAGAAGACGGTAAGTCGTCGGTCGTGGTCGTTTTCAGAGCATTGTGTGTCCTTGTGGATGCTGTGTGCACAGTTCTGCATGCTGTGTGCACAGTTCTGCATGCTGTGTGCACAGTTCTGCATGCTGTGTGCACAGTTCTGCATGCTGTGTGCACAGTTGCGCTTATTGTGCATACTGTATGCGCCGCGTCTGTTTTAAAAACAGACTTAGGCTGTGAATAGGCTATGGACAATTTCACTGTAATTCTCTGGCACTTTGGTATTCGCTGGTATCATGGAGTATTGACGTTAACTGACTTGGGAATTGTCCACTCCTGGTGCCTGGGTACATATTTCTCAATACAGTCAACTCCTGATATAACAAACACCATTGTGCAGGAGAATTAGTTCTTTATAGCCGAAGTTCGTTATACAGTCAGACCTCGCTTAACCGCACACATCTGTTTTCCACAAAAACATCCGGATAGGCGAGGTAACCGGATTTATAAACGAAAACTGTTTGCTACGAGAGAGCTTGGAAGCTCAGGGCCCTACGCTATGCTTTTTTGCCTTGATGACCTAGACAAAAAAAAGCATAGAGATGTTATAAATTCTTAAAAAAATTCCTTTTTTAAGAGACATAACCTGGGATTCGAACCCGCACTATCGCGCGCCCTGCATGCATCCCCGATACACTTCGCATACATACTAATTCTTCACTACTAATTCTTCCAAGTTGTTTCACGTTATGATCTTGCATTTGAAAGCCCTATTTGAATATGCATTGTGGCCAGTCGTCTTTGATGGTACGGTACGGGATAGGTACGGGACAGGTACGATCGAAGGTAATCCGACACCGTCTACCGCCTTGATGATGGCAAAAAACATAGGGATGTTATAAATTTTTCAATTCTCCTATTTTTTTTTTCAGGCATATCCTGGGATTCGAACCCGCACTATCGCCCCACATGCATTCCCCCATACACTTAGCATTCATACCCATTCTTCCAAGTTGCTTCACGTTATGATCTTGCGTTTGAAAGCCCTATTTGAATATTGCGGCCAGCTGTATGTGGCCAGCTGTGTTTGATGGTACGGTACGGGACAGATACGGGATAGCGCCAGGCGTGACACAAACAAACAAACAAACACACAAATACCAAATTAAAGCTGTGTGGACCCTGGCTAGCGCCAGACGTTACTGAAGTAACGTCTTCTGCATAGCTACGGGAATAAAGGGTCAATATTGTATGGGTTCAAACAGGGACATGCCACATGGACAATGGTTCGCTATATCACGCATTTCGCTATATGCGAGTTTGTTATAAGTGGAGAAGACTGTACGTGGAAGTCTTTTGGATGCTTTATCCTGCCGTTGACAAGTTTTTCTTCTTTGTGTGTGTGTGTGTGTGTGTGTGTGTGTGTGTGTGTGTGTGTGTGTGTGAATGCATGGACGTGGACACTGGTCACCCGTGTGAACACACAGATGATGACAGATGCGACCAAGCAGCAGGCGGGCTACACCTCTGCGTTAGCCAGCAATGACAAGGTATGGCCTGATCTATACACTGCACACTCTGTACACGTATACCGTTTCGCTCCTCGATTTCGATCTTGTAGAGCACTCTAAATAGGACGCACTTGCGCTGGTTAGCTTTATGCTTTGCCCGCTGCTTCTAGCAGTTTGAGCACTCTCGGCGCTAGTACATCGAGCTGTCCTAATGTCTGTGGTTCTCGTAGCCATGGCTGACAGTTCAATCCTATATTAAGCTCGGAGTTTCACTGATGAGGCCTCATTGGCCGAAACAGTCTGGCTGTCTGCATCATTGAGTATACCGTATATATTATATAATATTACTATACCTCACACTCGGTATACCCCTACACGTACTAATATACGGTACTTCACACAGCACTCTGTGCAATAATACTAAACAATACTCAATCAGCAGACATCTATCTGTTTCAAGTCTCATTAGCGAATGACCGGCCAACTGATCGCAATCAAGTGTAGTGAACAGGAAAGCATTTTTGAACCAGCTCAAAGCATCCAAATCAAGAGTGCTCACACTATGATAAACACAGCGAGGTTTGCACAAAACTATACAGTGTAGTGTGTAGACACATTTCTCGTATTGTACACTGCATTCTGCAGGGTACGAGTGCCATGCAATGCTCCGCACACATCCCTGGTATAGTACAGTACACATCCCTGGTACTTGCAGTCGGTCACCAGGCTGCACACCGTATTTCCCGAAATTAGCGCCGGGCTTCTATTACTGCCTGTCTGAAATAAGCACCACATCATTTCAGGGCTGTTGTGTGGATTTTTAAACGGAATATTTGGGGCTCGCAAATGACTAAGCGCCTCGGCCAGTACAGTGTATTGCTGAAAATACAGAACATGTTCACTGCAACTACCAACGACAAAAAAACTGTTTTCATTAGGGTCGGCAGTTGAAGCCTGTCATGTTTGTATGCCGTACCAATGATTTTAGAACTTGAGTGTTCTTATCTGGCCTAATTACATCCTGTCCACTGTCCAGTGTCCAGTGCTGTGTTCTTCAGCAAACATAATTGGTGGTCACTGCACTGTATTATGCACTGTACTGCTCTGCTCAATGACATCCGATCAAGCCCTGTGAATACCACACTGGGTACTGTGCAGCCCTAGACATGCCAACACTGGCATGTTCACTGGTGCAGGGCATTGTGCAACGCTAGACATACCAACACTGGCATGTTCACTGGTGCAGGGCATTGTGCAACGCTAGACATGCTAACACTGGGGTGTGAGCTGGTGCAGGGCATTGTGCAACGCTAGACATGCTAACACTGGGGTGTGAGCTGGTGCAAGGCGCCAACTTGATTTACGCTATCGGATAGTATATGTGACGGTGGTGTTCTTGCAGTTGCTTGCTTGCTTCTTGAGACTGCTGCTGCTGCTGTTGTTACTGTTGTGCTTTGCAGATGAAGAAGAAGTACGAGAGTGCGCAACAAGACTCTGATAAGGCCCATCTGGCATACACAAAGGCAGACGCAGACATGACTCTGTCTCGTGCCGCCGTCGAAAAGGTACAAATTCTTATCCGTATTGTAAAGCTCTCTCTCTCTCTCTCTCTCTCTCTCTCTCTCTCTCTCTCTCTCTCTCTCTCTCTCTCTCTCTCTCTCTCTCTCTCTTACTTACTTACACACTCACACACACTTTGTGCGTATGCATGTTGCAATGACGAGATCTAGTCCCAGACTATCTAACATGGTGTCTTTGTTTTAATTTCCGAGCAACGTGTACCAGCACACAAATCATGCAAACATGCAGGGCACTCAAGCATAGTACAATACTTTCGGGTGTGGAAGAACTGAAGGGTCGGCCTCGCGGCCTAGCCTGTTCATATTGTCATGTACTATGGTCTATGGGCATTGGAGTTACCGTGGCTACATTGCTATGCTGTGCTTGGTGAGATTCTAGGCTGGGCGGTCTTCGGCACTCAACAGTACGATGTAGTATGTTTTATCCAGGGCAGCGTATATTCCAGAGTACTAGGATAAGCCGCACCCAGATCGTTTGTCATGAAATACAGCCATCTCTAGCCTACACATGTAGGTTCATTTTGATCATGGTAGTACCAAGAGTCCATAACCCAAGAGTATGCAACTGTGATCTCTTTTCTATGGGCCAGATGCGCGGCGCGCTGCCTTCATTACATCATTCAGCTGCAGTCCGCTCACTGCGGAAAACCAAACACCGCACTTTCCCTCCAGTTTGAAATGAACTTTCGTACGGAACTAGAGTTCACGCGCCAGAATTCAGAGATTGTGTAGGTACTGGAACGAATCGAGCAAAAACGGATGGGCTCGTGCGAGAAATTGAGAGTTTGAATGCATGCTTTCAGAGCGTGATGAAGGCAAGTTACGTAATGAAGGCAGCGCGCCACGCATGCACCCATAATCACAGTTGCATACTCTTGGGTTATGGACTCTTGGTAGTACAAGCCTAGCTGACTTTTCTAGGGTTGACTTACTAGCGTTTAAAGTGCGGTTTATACACCCCGAAAATACCGTACTTAAGTGCATTACACTGAACTCTTCCTCTGTATGGATGTGTACCCAATTTGGTTGTGCTCTGTGTGTGTGTGTGTGTGTGTGTGTGTGTGTGTGTGTGTATTCAGTTCCGCAAAACCTCAGACCTCAAACAGGTTGAGGCGGACGAGGCGAAGTCCAACTTCCAGAAATCCATCGACGAGACAAACAAAGTACAAAAAGAACACTATCATACCAAGATGCCAGAAACGTTCAAGGTAAGAGAGAGAGAGAGAGAGAGGGAGAGAGAGAGAGAGAGAGAGTCAATGATCTCATTGTTTTTGCTTTGATCCCCCCCCCCCCCTCTATCTCTCTCATTCAAGGTAAGAGAGAGAGAGAGAGTCAATGATCTCATTGTTTTTTGCTTTGATCCCCCCCCCCCCCCCCCTCTATCTCTCTCATGCACACCATTTGACGCCCATCGCCAGAGGCGATGATAGCGATGCTACAGCAGAAGCCATAGCAGCTTGTGCTGGGATTGCACCCGATTCAACAGCTTGCAAGGTTGAAGAATTGACCGCCACTATTCGGCCTGGTCTACACCACACAACTATGAAGTGGCTTTTTCTGGCCACACACACACACGCCACTGTCAAAGCTAAGCATCCAGCAGCACTGTATCAGAGCGTTTACCTGTGTTTTGCTCTACTCCAAACCATATTCGTGTGTGCGTTCGTGCTCTTTGCTTCCTGCAGCAATTCCAACAGCTGGACGAGACGCGAACAAAGGAGATGATACAGCAATTCGTCCGGTACATCAGCCTCGAGTCTGAGCTTATGCCACTCTACACGGAGTCTGAGCAGAAGTGCAAGACTCAGCTGCAGGCCGTCAACCCGGACGAGGTAACCACCCTGTTTCTCATCTTGGCCCGTGTTGTGCAAAACAACTGGCAATTTGGCTAGAAAAACCTCACCAGTACTACACCCAAAAAAGTCGGTGTGGCGTATACTACGAGATTCAAATTAGCGGCGATAACGGGGTCAATAGACACCCTTAGCAAAAAACGTTATGTTGTAACGGTATTATCGTATATTAAAGGGGAAAATACCGTGATTTGGGTTCGACCTTTAGCAATATGCACGCTATTTTTAGTACGCTGTTGCCACGAGAATAGCTTTGATTTCGCGCGGTACAACCATTTTTGTCACCATATACGCGATACAAGGTGAAATGCGTACGGACTATGCAATATTTGGCTAAAACACGTACCGTTGGTCACAACGATAAATCAGCCCCCATAACGTTTATACGCTGCAGCTTCAACGCTATTTGGGTGATCAAGGTACGAGTACCGTAAAAAATAGCGTTACCGTTGTTTGCTAAGGGTGTCTAATGTCTGTATTTCGTGACAAAAAGATCTCAGTGTGGCTTGTTCCTCGGAAAATACAGTATCCAATTTTGGGGTGCTCAGCATAACTCCACTATATTGGTAGTTACCAGATCCTTTTTTTAACTTTTTTTCTCTGCTTGATACACTGAAGACACTTCATACATGTGCTTCACATCGGAGGATGTACCCAGCGTGCTGACAGTGCTCAACACCACAAAGGCAGAGCGTAATACAGAGCCTTGATTGTCCTTGTTGTTCTGTGCTTCACATCCAAATGACTTCGGTCCAATTTCAAAATCTGATTTAGTTTCCAGCAACCGGTAATGATTGAAAACTCTAGGTTTAGGACCTGCTTGTCTACCTGTTTCGCCATGGGATTCCCTAATTTTGTACAACCGGGTCAAATTTCACCCCCCCCCCCCCCCCTCCTTGGACTTTTTTCCTGGCTGGAACGTGGCCAGAGAGAATTGCATAGATCACACAATGCACAGTGCAATATCCAGTTGTTTCGCTATAAATACCACACTGGTGCATCATACATCAGGCGCGTGCCCCGTGTGGGTTACTGGGTGCCCGGAACCCCCTTTTTTCCCTCAAAATGCAGGATTTTGCTTCATTTTTTTGAAAATTGTCCCGCGGACCCCCCCCCCCCTTGAAGGGCACCGACGCACGCGCCAGTAACATTACACAGGGTATACAGTTGTTTCGCTATGTGTGTGACTGTGTGTTGCAACGTGTCCAGGTCGGTCGGCTGGACAGCACAGTTATGGTGTGGTTTGTTCATGAAAAATCTCTTACTGTTGCTCTCTCTCTCTCTCTCTCTCTCTCTCTCTCTCTCTCTCTCTCTCTCTTTCCCAGGACTCGCGTGTGCTGGTGGATGAGCTGCAGAGCGGCTTCACCATTCCCACCGATATCGTCTTTGAGGAAATGTCAAGCGCCCCACAGCCGGAGAAGTCGGACCGGCGCTCGAAGAAGGCCTCCGTACCGACCTCCTTGGTAGGTGCTGCGGTGCCTCTTCTGCCCATACAGTTGTGCTGCGTTGCCTCTGCCCATGGAGTTGTGCTGTGTTGCCGCCTCTGCCCAGGCAGTTGTGCTGCAGTACTAAGGGCTTGAGTGTACAGCGGATCACATCTGTCTCAGGCACAATAGCGACGAACCATGTCCATGCTGGCTCCAAATGGTGGAGCATTTTTCGGCCGGGTTTTGAGTGTTTTGCCGGACTTAGCACTGATGATTGTTTAGACATGCTGGTCCAAATCCCCATTTCAGCCGAGTTAGAGTGGGGTTTTAGCCTAACTTGACTAAATCAGATTGTGCCTCAAAGTGCCGATGCTATTGTAATCGTCTGGTGCACTGAAGAGACTTTCAAGAGTGAAGGCCCATGTTCACCCCGCTATTCTTGCTGAGAAACACTGCAAACTGTCCTGATGGATAAACCTGGTTATCTTGTTTGTTGCTGCTGCTGCTGCTGCTGCTGCTACTGCTGCTGCTGCTGTTGCTGCTGCTGCTGTTGCTGCTGCTGCTGTTGCTGCTGCTGCTGTTGTTGCTGCTGCTGCTGCTGCTGCTGTTGTTGCTGCTGCTGCTGCTGCTGCTGTTGTTGTTGCTGTTGATGTGTCTGTTTACAGATTAAAGCAGCTGGCAGTAAGAAAAACAGCATCTGTGAAGAGGTAGGCCACACCGCTGACTCGTACTGGTTGACGGCCTGTACAGGGTTGATGACTGTTAGTGCACTGCCACTGTTGTCGCCTGTGTGCCACTGCTGCTAGCCTATGTCCGGCTCTTCCACTAGAGCACGGGGTGGAGGCAGACTGGAAAAGAAGTGAAAGGGCGTGTAAATACAAGTATGTACACACCTACCTCATGGTGTGCAGACTCTCCACTGTAGCCACAGTTCATGTTTCACACAGTTATACACCACTATGAAACCAAAAACTCTCAGCTACAAATTCTTCAACATAAAAATTAATAAATAAATTCTTTAAACACACGGCGAGGAGACAACAATTTTATAACCGCAATCAATAAAACTAGCTGAACCGACATTTGTGTACTTTATTCATGCAATGTAAAATCGTCTCCACCGTTTTTTACATTGCATGAATAAAGTACACAAATGTCGGTTCAGCTAGTTTTATTGATTGCGGTTATAAAATAAATTCTATCCAAATTTTCGGGCCAGGCCCCATCTTCATAATTGTGTCAAGCGCGTGAATGTGCCGCAAAATCCCGCCAGAGCCCCTCTACCTTCGAATAGGTCCGGGTGGGGAGGGGCAGATGGGCGAGTCCTACTTGCCGAATTCAGTACTACACATGAAAAAATGCTCGCCTACGAAAACTGTGCTTGCAAAGGTCAAGGTCAAGAGCAGGGAGTCGTACAGACCCATCAAAACCCAGGGTTTGTACAATCCCTGGTCAAGAGGGTGTGAACTGCTGCATTTCCAGTCGGGTCGAGCACGCGTCTGCAGTGCAGTACGGCATCACACTTAAACAGAGTCATACGAGGATATGATCATTCTCACTTCCCTGACAAAAATTCAGGGAGGGGCGCATGGGAGAGATGGGACCGGGGCGCTCTGGCGGGATTTTACAGTAATAGAGAAAATGGCACTAATGACATGGTGTTGGTTTTCTGATTTTCAGTCTGTGGACTTATTCGACGGCTTGCCACCCGCCAAGCGGAAGAAGAAGCTAAACTCGAGAATCAGTGACCTGAAGACTTCTGCCAAGAAGGAGGAGGCTGAACTGAAAGCCCTGGAGAAGCTCACCTCCGTCTACACGGCAAACCCCAGCCTCGGCGATCCCAACGTCGTCCAGCAGAAGATCGCGCCGGTCATAGCACGCGTGGACGGCTTCAACGATGAAATGTACAAGCTGGAGGTGAGTGAATTCAGACTCTGTAAGCTGCCTAATGTTTGCGAATTTTGTGAGAAGAGCATAACGCGAATATTAACCATCGCGAAATCAAACTTCAACAGTGTGTGTGTGTGTGTGGCCACCGTGTTCTGCGAAGATTTGCCATCGGAAATTCGCTGGCTCTGAGAAATCGCGAAAATTTAGTGAAGCAAATATTGGGTGGTTTACAGTTGTCAGCGCAGACACTCGCCCACACACATACATCCATACACACTCAGACATACATATTCTCAATAGTTTCCTCCAGCTCGTATTCTCACTGGTTTTCAACGGCTCATAGAACTGTGCTGTGACGGCAGTCCTGTGCTGTGACGGCAGTCCTGTCATGTCAAGCCAAACACTGTAGTTTCCCTGTACTCCTGGTCCAGTGCTGCGCATGTACTGTATAGGACATCGCACTTGTACTATGTCGCATTCTCTCTGTCTTTCTATCTCACTGTCTCTCACTGTCTCTCTCTCTCTCTCTCTCTCTCTCTCTCTCTCTCTCTCTCTCTCTCTCTCTCTCTCTGTCTCTCTCTCTGGGTGTGTGGGTGTTTGTCTCTCTCACTGTCATTGTCACTGTCACTCTAGTCACAAGTAGTTAACGTTTGTTGGTGTTGTTGCGGCAACGTGTGTTTCTGTCTCCAATAGTGTGCTTTGGCTCAGATGGAGAATCGTGATCCACCAACCGCCCCTTCCAGTGCAGCAAACATGCTGACAACACGCACATCAATCTCATCGAGTGCCAGCGACTTCCTCAACGTACAGTCCAACTCGGTTAACTCCGTTGCTGATCAAAGCGACGAGTTTGGTAAGATGTTTGTGTGTGAGAGGATTGCTAGCCTAGTCTCACACAAAGCTAGAATTAATTATTGTATGAGGGTATTACCGTAAAAGTCCGTAAATAAGTACCTGCCCGAAATAAATACCCCCTTCGTTCTTTTTGACTCTGTCTGTTGAGGTCAAGACAAGCCCAATAAACATACTGCCCGAAATAAGTACCGGTACGGTACGGTGCGCACATGCGGCACGTACCATGTCCATCTACAGTCAACTTCGCTGATAACGACTGCGGATATAACGACAATTCGCGAATAACGACAGACTTTTCATGCCCAGAGCAAAGTCCATTCTACCTGTATACATAATATTATCATGAGACTTCGGGTATAACGACACTTCGCGAATAACGACACTTTTCTGATGCCTGGCCGAGTGTCGTTATACGCAAAGTAGACTGTACATGAAAATGAAAATGACTTCTCCACTAAACACAAGTCCAGTCCGAAAGTTAATCCGTGCCCGGAAGTTAGTACCCGCTCGAAAGTTAGTACGGGTGAGGCCACTAAAATTCGAAATTAAGTACGGACTTTTTTTCTTTTTTTACGGGCTTTTTATAATACGGTATTCGGGGAAAGTACAGTGAAGGACTAGAGAAACCAGAGCTGAAGAAAACACACCAGTTGACTAGACTCAAGGAGGATTAGACTGCAAGGAACAAGATGAGGAGTCAACCCTAAAGTAACATTAGAAGAGAGCCTCTGCTACGGTTTTTGGTATACGGTGAATGAGTGAAGCGGGATTCACATAAGCACTTTTGCGATGCGACAACCGCAAAGCCGGGAAATCCTCAAATCGCATCCACCGCAGCTCACGCAACGGGCACAACTGGCACATAGCAGAAGTCGAGCTTGGCTCCACTTTCGCCAAGAGTTGCTTGTAGATTTGTGAAAGTTGTACCAAGTCGCGCGAATACCATGGTGATGAGCTCACCTGCTGTAAATCTTGTGCCAAATCAGCAAGGCGCCGCCGCATCGCAGAAAAAGCCTATGCGAATCCCGCTTTATTGTAGGAATTAAGGAAGGAGGGTACCGAGTGTACTCAGCAGTGAGGACGGACACTCACCTGGAGATCTCAAAACAATGGTGTGAAGGAAGGGGGCAGGCGGTGGAGCCTGAGACTCTTAATTTCAGGCTCGTTGGTTCGAGCCCCACTTTTGGGCACCAATGGTTTGAGAATTGCTAACCCCGTCTCACACACAGAGCTACAAATTATTAGTGTATTCGCGTTTTAAACGAGAGAGCTTGGAAGCTCAGGGCCCTACGCTATGCTTTTTTACCTAGCTCATCGTGCAGGTTATTAGAATTGATGGAAATGTTTTTTCCTTTGATTGGCTACATCATTGTATTGCAAAAACGTTTCAATCAGTTTGAATATGAGTTTACAATAATGTCCTTACCTTGATAGTGTGCTTGTGCTTAACTGTTTCTGATGGCCGAATGCATGGTTGCCTGTGGAGCACATTACATAACTTTACAGTCTCCTATAATACGCATACTGTCCGACGGAAAAGGAGGCTGCAGATTTAGTTTTTCTGCGCGTTATCAGCAATGACTACTGGTCTTCAGCAACTTGGGTCTCCTGTAATATGCATCCTGTCTATGCTTTCGTAATGCTAACATGATGCTCGGGATAACACTCGCTGCTGATCTTCAGAAGCTTGGCCTGACTATCACGACTGCAGAGACTTTTCGTAGTACTTGAAATGAAAGAAAAACTTGACAAGAGCACGTACAGCTTCTTTGCGTCCTGTTCGGCAAACCGGCAGGAATTCACGCCTCGGATTACCTTCGAAATCCGGCAGAAACATTGTTACCGCTTCAACATCACTCTCGAATAACGGGGTACCCCAGCAGAGTCTGCTCTCATTTGGTTCTTTTCGGTCTAGAGCCAAAACAGTCGTTGGATCTGCGAGATGAGTGGAACGAATCATAATATGATAGTAACATACTTCACAGAATCTTCGCAGCTCTGGAAATGTGAGGCCCCCCTCGCGAGCAGGTAAATCCATGACAAACAGAGACCTCAGTTAACCCAAATGTATCAGCACGTTCAACGGCTACACATCAATTTGGTAAAGAGGAAACTGAATAGCCAGACAAACTGTGATGCGAAAGAAATCCAGATTGATTAAGAATATCAATTTTGTGGTTGTGTGGGATAAGGATGTCGTATAGCATGTCGTACAACAGTACGATGAAATTGTGGGAGAAACCAACGACCACTTTTAAAAGCGCTTGGGAACCATGAACATTGCAACAGTGTTATTAGTGTAGTTGAGTTTTAAATAAAGGTAAGTAGCAGCATTCGCCACTGTGCACATTGTTTTAGGGTACAGCAAAACCTGTCAAAGCGACCACTCGAATAAGGGCGCGTTCAGACTACCGATAAAAAGTAACGGAATGGGAAAGTTTCCAAGGTGATTTGATCACGTGACGTTACTGGCACGTTACCGGCGGAAAAGTTTTACTGCCGCAGCTGCTGCGGCAGTAAAAAAAATCCGGCAGTAAAAATGTGCTCAGACTGCATGCACGCTGGGAAAAAAAGGGAAAATCCCTTGTCAGTGCCGCGGCGAGAGCTGAAAAACTTCACGGTAACACTAGTTTTTATCGGTAGTGTGAATATCCTTCATGGTTTATCGCTATTCACGGTTTGACGGGGTTCACGGTAGTCTGAACGTGCCCTAAGGCGACCACCTGTCCTAGAAGACCAGTGAAACTAGAACCAGGGGGTGCTATATTCAGTCAAATGACCCTGAATGAGGAGACTGCCTGGTAACAGAGACCACGTCTTGAAGGTCCTATGAGCGGTCGTCGTCTTCGGCAGGTTTTCACTGTATTAGTACTAGGGGAAAGCACAGTGAAGGATAACAGAAACCAGAGCTGAAGAAAACACACAAGTTGACTTAAGGAAGATTAGACTTCTAGGAACAAGATGAAGACCCAACACTACAAGTAACGGTAGAAGAGAGAGGTTAAGATGCACGTTATTTCCGACGTGACGCGAAAGTTCAGCTCGCCCGTCGAAAAACAACGGGGGTGACCTGCAGCTCACGTCGAAATTTGGAGTTTTACGCCAAATTTGACGTGAAATTGCGCGTCACGTCGGAAGTAACGTGCATTTTTACCTCTCTATTGCCTCTCGTACCCTTTTTGGTATAATTATGGTGAATGAGTTAATAAGTAGGCGCGCCAACGCATTACAATAGAGAGGTTCTGCAAAACGAAAATGTGTACGAGCTTTCGCCCTACGTCACAAAGCGAGAAACTTCACACCAACTTTCGCAACTTTGGACGCGAAACTGCAGGGAACGCGAAATGAACTTTCGCAGGAAGTTTCGTGAGATCGGGTCATCGTGTACGTGCACTTGGCGCGTGCAAACTACGAAAATGTGCCGAACACAAAGTTCGTGCGAAATTCGTACACATTTTCGCAAGGCCTGTCGCGAAACTTCGTTTGTGCAGAGCCTCTCTAATAACTGGAAAGTGCATTTTTTTACTCGACACGACATGGAAAGAAGGAAGGTTAGCAACGAAACAAGAGATGAATCCAGCGCTTTCCGAATAATGTATTAAATTGGTGCGCGTACATGTTATATGGCCCGGATCTGTACACTAGAAAGGGAAGTAACTAGATCAAATGTACGGTGTATTATTTGCATGGGCAGAAGGGGAAATGGGGCTACATTTAGTTGATGGCACGGTGTGTTATGTGTTGTGCACAGGGCCGAGGGAAAATGAGCCTACTTTAGTTGTATGGTACGGTGTATAGTGGGCCATATGCATCAATTTCCCGGTGTTAGGTTTTGCGGGGCAAGTCCACTACAACCGTGCACGCCTTGATACCAGCTCTGCATAAAATGTCATGAACTTTCTAAGATCATACTCCTGAATGTACTAAAATCGTTTGTAACGGTGTATGCCAAATATGGGACAACATGCCCCTCAAAAAAGGTAACGGCCATATTCTATGCATACCTCCCATTCTTGCAAGGAGGGCCACAGGGGCAAGGGGGAAAATAACTATGGTCACGTGTATGGTGTTTAGTTGGCGTGCTGTAGGTAAATCTTGTGTACAGCACAGGGGAAATGGGCTTTCTTCAATGTAGGAGAAGACGGGGAAAATCAGACTAACATAGCACATACGATTGAATAGCCATGAGCTGTTTTAAAGTGAAAATTGAAATTTTGTTTGTTTGTGTGTGTGTGTTTGTATGTGTGTGCGTGTGTGTGCGCGTGCGTGCATGCGTATTGCGATGGATTCTCACATGTTGTCCACGTGCAGATGACAGCGTAGGTGAAGTGAAGAAGAGCGGGTCAATGGCATGGGGTGACGACTTTGCTGACCCAGGCCAGCAAAAATGCACTGTACTATACGACTTCCAAGGTAGGAACAAGTGACTGCATTCATTCTCTCTCTCTCTCTCTCTCTCTCTCTCTCTCTCTCTCTCTCTCTCTCTCTCTCTCTCTCTCTCTCTCTCTCTCGCCGGAGGCGATGATAGCGATGCTACAGCAGAAGCCATAGCAATTTGTGCTGGGTTTGCACCATTCAACAGCTTGCAAGGCTGAAGAAGTGACCACCACTATTCAGCCTGGTCTACACCACACAGCTATGAAGCACACATACACACACACACACACACACACACACACACACACACACACACACACACACACACACACACACACACACACACACACACACACACACCTTCACACACTTCACATTTCTGTGAGAACTGATCTTTGAGACGGTCGGAGGAGGAGGGGGGGGGGGGGGGGCAGTGGCGTGCACCGAGTCTTGAAAGGGGGGTTTCCAGAGTTGGTAAATTTTTTTCTGGAGACCCGCTGTATATTAATGTACCGGTATTTGTGCACATGCGCATCCCCCGAACATCCCGTCGAAGATAACGGCGAGGGCTAGGGTCTGACTAGGGAGGAGGGGGGATTCAAGATCAGCGGTGCTCAGGGCACCAATGCCCGGCAATGGACACTGGTGCTGATGAGATGTGGGGCTCCTCCGACTGCTATCATGCCCGCACAAATTCGTCTGAGAGGGAACCAGGTCCAGGGGTAGAAACTTACTAGAAAGGACAGAAATAAGAGCCTAATGAGGAATTGAGGGAGGGGACGATGTTACATAGAAATGTTAGTATAACCGGTAGTAGGATAAAACGGGTTACCTTTTACATACCAGCAGTTACATGCAAAAAGGGGGCAAAAGGCAATTTGCACAATCATATACATGTACATGACATGTTTGTCATATTGAACAAGTAAAAATAGTTTGATAGGCCCAGCCCGGCGCCCAGCCGCCCAGGCTACACTGCACTACAGTCAACAACAGGTGCTTCACTAGTCCACTCCAGGCATGTTCGGTTCATCAAAACACTGCTTACATTCGACGTATCTTTCTTTCTGTTCTTATGATGAAGTTTTCAGCATGTATTGGTAATTTTCCTTATTCAATCAAGAGTTATGGACCTTGCTTCGATGGAAACTCGCGAAAGAAAAGCGAAGCCCCGCGTCCTTGCGGAGTCGCAGCCAGCAGCGCAAGTGGATGATGGACGCACAGTTTTACGTCTTCCCAGTCGACAAACGATTTTGACGAAGATCTCTGAGAGCAAGAACGAAAGGCTGTGGAGATCTTGATTTGAGTCAACAGTTTGGAAGGAGATTTCGTCAATAATATCCTTGAACTGACTTGCATCGCGCGTGCTTGACTCAAATTTGGAGACAAAACGGATTTCTTGAACGTCATCGCCAATCCAGGAGCGGGCCAGAGCTGGAGATCGATCTCTCTGTAGCTACTCTCCACTGAAGAAAGAGAGAATAATGTATTGTGAACTGCATGCAAAGCAACTCTCTCTCTCACTTCGAAATAAGGACATAGTCACTGTACTGTAAACTGCCCGTCGATCGACGTGTATGCACGATAACCAATCCAGTAGCCACACTTTTCCTTTGGCAAGATTGCCCGAAAAAAGGTGGTTTCCAGACACCAAAAAACTCATACGGTGCACGCGCCTGGGGGGGACTGTGCCTGCCCTTTTTGTGAAGTAAAATGAAACTGGCAACAGGGAAACAACAACTACAACAACAAAAACACACGCTTCTCTATCAAACATCTATCCAAAGCTTGTTCTAATGGAATATTTTTTCATCCAGTTCTTTACGGTGATTGAAGAGCATTCCAGTAGCATTGCTGGAGGAAAGGTCTTGGTCATAGTGTATTTGGGAAGCACTGCACACACCGCCGAATTGTTGCTCCAGTTTCATTCTCCATGCACGTGTGTGTACTTTCAGTGTTCCTGTCTGATTACCAAGACAGTATTTGTTGGCTTTTGTGTGTGTGTGTGTGTGTGTGTGTGTGTGTGTGTGTGTGTGTGTGTGTGTGTGTGTGTGTGTGTGTGTGGCTCTTGTTACCCACTGCCACCACGCTGCAGCAACGTCCGGCTCTGAACTGTCCGTATCGGTCGGCGAGACTCTCGAACTCGTCCAGGACGACGGCAGCGGATGGATCAGCGTTCGCCGTGGAGATGCCCAGGGTTACATTCCCCTGAGCTACGTGGATATGTCTTAACGGCATGTCACACACACCACAGACACCCGATCTTGTTTAAACCAACTCTATCATACCTCTTTACTAATTTCTCACAATTTTTTTCGCTGAGTTAGTTCGCATATGCATAAAAGAGCCAGCGCGCCTGTTTCTTGAGATTTACCCGCAGCCGGCCCCATGATTGCAGTATGGTGGCTAAGCGAGATTGAGATAGCACTTAGTCCAGGCTATGTGTGCAGCACGCATGCACCTTCTCTCAAATCATGTGTCGCAATCAAGCTGACTGTGCATGTGGCTTTGCTGAGTTACCCTGTGCTGCCGCGCGGCTGTGTGTGCCAAACCGTTTTATTTCGTCCGGGGCCTCCCCGCGCCAGTTAATTTCCGACGTGGATGTGTTAGCATACTACAAGCAGTCCCTTTCCGTTTTCTTGTCTTGCATGGATTAGAAGTCCTTGGGAATCGTTCCTGGCTACATTCCGCCATCAGCCTGCTGCGCAAATGTCAATGCTCCGAGACAATGATCTGTACGAGGTGATTTGGCTTTTTTTAACATGGTTGTAAAATCACGTTTTTTCAGCCACTTCTAGGCAAGCTACGTCCAAATGAATTGTTGCAAGTGGAAGTGCTATCCTTCATGCCCGTTGTCTCAAAAAATGGGAATGATCCCACTTTGGAAAAGAGTGTCTTGAATCATGTCCTACTTTCATAGTATTCTCAGGGTTCAAATAATTGGTGTGTCATTTTTTAACAAATTTGTAAAATGGCATCACAAACTGGGATATTCGGTCATCAATGTTCTGAAGTTGATAGATATCACTTCGAGGAATGCTAGTGGATGAAAATTAATCTGTCAACTGCATTGTATGCTGCTGAAAAGCCGTGTTTTTGTATTTGTAACTAGTGGCTGTGTCATACGGTAGAATTGGATAGGTAGCATAGCAGCCATGTTTTACTGTTCTTCACTGTTGTCTTTAGCGATGGCAAGACGGCCTGACGTCGTCCAAAGGCTCTGCGGCCGCGGAAGCAATTCACAGCCCTCCTCGTCCATTCAAGGGCTTATTTTACACATAATGGCAAAACACCCACCACTAGTTATACCGATGTGGCAGGGAGAATTAATTATATGCACCAAATTGAAATTTTAGGATAAACTGGCTCTCATTTGTCACCACCCATGTTTCGATACAGCCATCTGGAGCAGAGAAATAGCCAAAAGAAAAGCAAATTTTACGCATTTCTTAAAAAATGCCAAATGTTAAAAAAGCCAAATCACTTCGTACTGCTGTTTGCATACTCTGTGAACAAAGCCCTATAACATAGGCTATTATATTATTATAACGGCTATATGATTCATAATAATGTATGGTTGAGACTTGCAGCGCAATGATTGTTGCACTCACTGACACAAGCAATAGTGTCCTCAGCAGGGAGTCGTTTGGGTAGGACTCCATTTCATCGAGAATGTATGGAACTGCAAATAAGCCGCTTGATTCCCTCTATCGACTCCTGAAAACGGTTGTTCTCAGGCATCAAGTACAATCACCTGATATACCAGGGGTTGGATAGTATCGATAAGCCACAGCAAATAATTATTTGATGTGTGGAGCCAATACGAAGGTACGTTAAAAAATATGATGGCATTTGCATGTAACAGGCCCCTTGGAAAAAAGGGGTTCTCCTGCAAGTTTTCCACCGTTGTAGAGAATACGACAATTGCATGGGGTGGTTTCTGAAGTTATGAACTGAAATGGAGTGAAGAATCCTGGAGAAACGCTGCACTTGGCAAGCTATGAACGGAAATACTCAGGGGCGGCTTGCAAGTCTTGGACTACATGTAAATTGTATAACCACTCGCCTCAGTTAGCTATGGAACGGTCGAAAGCCTACACTGGAATCTCCCCATGTCATGCATAAATCCACATTCAGACCACAAAACACAGTTCAAAGCAGTATATCCAATTTGGATCTAGTTTATTGTAAAAGAGGAAAAGCAATGACAGCCAAGGGAGCAAAGTGCAGTAGCGACTTGACATCTGTGACCAAGAGCAAAGAAACAGAGAAGAATGCAGTTAGGACGAGGACAAGAACACAGAACCAGGCACAGAACTCCTTGCAAGTGAATGGCCTCAGAAAACATAAAAAAGTGTCTTTCACAGACAAGCTCAGGCGAAAGATGGTGTTGTTTGAGTTCATCATCAGCCAATGCAAAACCAGGTATACATCTGACTGTTGGCTTACCATGTATGCAGCAGGGAGGCGTTATTGTAGAAGCCAATCATCCCGGAGATAGCAGTCATCTGAAAAGACACGAAGGACAAACCATACATCCAAAAAACAATGAAGATAAGTGGCTGGACACACCACAAGGCAATACGTGCTAGTGAGAGCAAGCAATGTCTCGCCATTGGGTGATGCTGTTACGATGTGTGAGTATTTCACCAGACCAGCGACCGTGTTAGGCGACATTTCAATGTGGGCCTCAAATTGAACCGGGCTAAACATGAGAACAGTCAAGCGCAGTCTTCGAAAGGGCCAAGGGAAGGGGAGGGGGGTCTTACCTTGTTTGCAAAGGCAGGTAGGCGCAAAGGGAAGGGGAGGGGGGTCTTACCTTGTTTGCAAAGGCAGGTAGGCGCTGCTTGCATAACTAAATTATCCAAGAGAGAGCAGTCACCTGTGAAAAGACATGAAGCACAAACCACACATCCAGAATCAAACAATGAAGATAGGTGACTTGACACGCCAGGCATTGACCACACACAAGACAATGCATGCGAGTGAACGGACGTGGCAATGTCTAGCCATTGGGTGATGCTGTTACGGTGTGTGAGTATTTCACCAGACCAGCGACCGTGTTAGGCGACATTTTAATGTGGGCCTCAAATTGAACCGGGCTAAACATGGGAACAGTCAAGCTCAGTCTTCGAAAGGGCCAAGGATTTCATAGCATATGCAAAACCAATAATGAAGTATAATTATTAGTTGAAAATTGGAAATCCTTACAACAGGAAACATCATTCATGCGTGGAAACTTGCCTATGAAAGTTTCTGGATATGTGAACAGCAAACGTTGAGCTCAGAACCTGGAAACAGAGAAATAGAACGCAGGCAAAGCGAAATTCGAGAATGCAACGTAATCGGGGTTGTATTGCCAAACAGCAGTCGGCCTGCTCAGGGTTAAAAAGCTCATTTGCGTACACGGTTTAGTTCACGCAAATATATGGGATCATCCTAGCAGGCTGGAATCGTTGACCAAAGTCTGTGAAATACAGTTGGTCGCCATCTTGGATAAGAAGTATATTACTAGAAACGTGTTGTATCGATCACGCTTCTCAGGGACAGACATAATTCCAAGGGTAGGACTTACGTTAGTATCGAAGTAGATACAGCGCAGCATATATCTCGAATTCCGCTGGACATAATCTAAACTCCGGTATCGGTCAAATTCCGGTACGATTCATCGCCATCATCTAAACAAAACAAAAAAAAAGATGGAAGGAAAAGAGTTTAGGAAAGAAACGTGGCAGAATAGACGGTACACGAAAAACGATCCAGGAATTGCCTCAGCAAGAGAGTTAACAGATCTTTCACAGGCCTTACGACCTCAGTCGAAAGATGGTGATGTTGTTTTACTCGTCCTCGACAAGTCGAAAAAGAAAAGAAACGGAAACGACCGAAAGAAAACAATACGGTATCTATCCTTGCAAAACGACAAGAAACAAGACATACCTTGAAAAAGTAAGGCGGACAAGATTCCAGACACAGTGGCAACTTTCTTCGGCAGGTCGGAGTGCCACGTCCACATCATGTTTCGTAAATCAGATCTGGAAGAAAAGGAAACACAACAGTTATATTGAGAGATTGATGAATGATGGACTGCAAGTTTTACACGTGTCCGAACAAAGAAACAAAAGGCCTCAGCAAGAGAGTTAACAGATCTTTCACGAGCCACAAGGACTTCAGTCGAAAGATGGTGATGTTGTTTTACTCGTCATCGACCAGCCCAATCAGAGGGCTCCAAAGAAAAGGAAATCAGGAGAGAAAAAACAAAAGCACGGGCTGAAGTCCAAAAAAACCAACTCACCAAAACATTTTAGTTGAAGGTGCGGGTTTCATCCAGGCAGAAGAAGGTGGTGATTTACCACATTGCACAGGCGGCGCGACATAATTCTGCCCAGAACGACGTGTTCAACAGATCAAACAAGCTGAGACGCAGAAACTCCTTCCACCGTCTCCTCCAAAGAACAAGAAAGGAAGACAACTCCCTCTACCGAGTTCCTGGCTTTTTAGCCGAAATTTTGCGTTGCCATAGAAAAAATGGCGCTCAACTGCCGCGTCGAAAGTAGGAGCGCAGCCTGCAAGGCCGCAACCTTTGCTTGCTTTGCCGAAAACTAAAAACTAAAATCTTTATATGAAATACAACGACGTTTCTTCAGGTGCCAACCGAAAAAGTTGTCGTTGTTACCTTATTCCGGGGCAGATCGGGAGAACTGAGGTTTACCATTTTCATACTGTGAGCCTGAGGTTTGAAACGGTAAAAAGGCCGTCCATTCAATACGATTATACTATTTTGTTAGCTTGATCTCAGTCGTTTCGAAGTAACTAGTTACTTTATTCCCAAGCCACACACACACACACACACACCTGTTATTCAGTGTTGGAGGGTTTGAAGCAAAAAAGATGCTTTATGCTGCGCTCTGTGTTTTGGAAGTACATTTAAGCTGATCGGAATCGCGTGTGTAAGCCATCCACCGTCATGGTGCTGCTGCGAGTAAGTGAACAACCGTTCAACTTCTGGTGATCATGTTGCTGCTGGTGTTAGAAATCTGTATTCTCACAATGGCCAGTGGCAGTAAGACAGGTGCTGCTGCTGCTGCTGTTGCTGTTACTTACTTAAAATTAGATGACACACTATGCACAGAATAGAGAATAGGGAGGAAATCAGGAAAAGTATGTTATTACTCAAGCACTTCACACTCTTGGAATCATGAGGCGACAAGTACAGTAGAGTCGCGCGCCCAAGAACGTTGTTTCCAAGGGGTTAGCCTGGGGCGTTCTTATTTTTCAGAAATCTGGCTGTGTTCTTATAGCACGTTCTTAGAAACAAACCATACTGGATCATATGTATCCCACAAGCTGCTAGAAAACCAACACTGCCGTTCTTAGCTTTAGACTGTGGTGTTCTTAGAATTTCAGGCTGGACGTTCTTGGGCTCGACGTTCTTCAGCGCGCGACTCTACTGTAGGGTGGTGTGCTGGGCCTCAACACACCACTATCGTATAAAGCAAGCGCAGGTACATGCAGTCGACCATAGCATGTAGAGCCTAGCTACCTGGCGGTCAACTGGAAGGTGCCCAGGCTACGCTGCTGGCTGGTGGTGGTGTCTGTGTTGTTGGTGCTGGTGGTTGTGGCGCTGCTGTTGTTGGTGGTGGTGGTGGTGGTAGTGGTGTCTGTGTTGTTGGTGCTGGTGGTGGTGGTGCTGCTGCTGCAGGCGGTGCTGGTGGTGCTGGTGCTGATGGTAACAGACTGGGTGGTGCTGGTGGTGACAATAATGCTGTTGATTGTGGTGGCGGCGGTGCTGCTGGTACTGGTTGTGACTAAGTGTGGTAATAGTGGTTTTTTTTCATGGGTCGATGCTGCTGCTGCTGTCGTCATTTGGATTGGTTACGGTGAGGGCTGCGTCCCACCCGCCTGTGCGGATTCACAGGAAGTGTGAGTTACGAAGTCTGAAGAAAATGTTGAACGGTCTCTGCTGGGATGACGACTGCACCATAGCTCCGTGGTTAGAGCATCACTGGCTACAAGCGAGGGTCCCTGGTTCGAGTCCTGGTGGTGACAGTCAATTTTTTCTTCAGACTTTTCCCGTTTGTGTGTTTCCCTCAAACCAGTGAATATTTTATTACTAATTATTAGTAATTGCCTATTCACACCAGCACTGGAGGGGACACAGTGAAAATAAGGCAGCGTCGGAACACCGTCCTCCCTACATGTCACATCCGCCTAGGTCGCGGGGGGGGGGGGGGGCAGGGATATGAACCACTCCCTACTAGATGAAGCAAAAGCGGTTGCAGTGCGTGTCGTGAAATCTGGAGAGGGATATTCACATTGAAGGGGAGAAGAGCTATTAAATTTTCTTAATTTTGTCATTTCAGCATTTGCTTGGTGAATACCTCACATCTAGTTATGAGCACAGTCAACTTTGCGTATAACGACACTCGGCGGGACATCGGAAAAGTGTCCTTTTACCCGATGTCTCATTATATGTGTCACAGTTAGATGGGACTTGGCTCTGGGCACGGAAATTCTGTCGTTATTCGCGAATTGTCGTTATATCCGCAGCAAAGCTGACTGTACATGTCCATGTCCATACCGGCAGGCAAGGCAATGACGCAAGCATGTGTACTAGTATCTCTAAAAGTCTTTGTGCATGCATGTTGTTACACGCAGGGTTTCTACCGGCTGACGCGGCTGCAGAAGACCATAGTGCTGGCGGCGTTCGTCGTCTCCACCTTCTACTTGCTGACGGTGGCGTACGCGGAGCATTGGCAACATCACAAGCAGGTGCAGGACCGCGTGAACGAGGAGCTCCAGGCCACGCTGGCCCCGCTGGACGACGAGATCGACAGCCACCGCAAGCAGGCCAAGCAAGCGCTGGAGATGGCGGCGCTGGTCAAGCGGCCCAAGCGCGGCCCGCCCGGCCGAGTGCACCACTTGCCGCCGGAGCATCGCGACGCGTTCGTGGACCACGACGCCGGCGCTCATCAGCACAACAACGACGACGCTGGCAAGGAGCCTCAGGAGCACGTCGATCACGACCGGCTGAAGACGGCGGAGACGACGACTGCTCCCGCAGTTGCTGTGGCAACCACACAGGTGCCCAGCGGCGAGGATACGTCGCACACCCAGGCACGGTCGGTCAACGAGCGACAGCAGAAGGTGATTGAGATGTTCCGGCACGCCTGGAAGGGCTACAAGGCGCACGCCTGGGGCCACGACGAGCTGAAGCCCATCTCGAAGTCGTCGTCGGAGTGGTTCCATCTCGGCCTGACGCTGGTGGACAGCTTGGACACGATGTGGATCATGGGCTTGAAGCCGGAGTTCCAGGAAGCGCGTGACTGGGTGGCTACGCAGCTCAACATGGATCAAGACCGCGACGTGAACCTGTTCGAGACGACCATACGCGTGCTGGGCGGTCTTCTCAGCACGTATCATATGTCACAAGACCCCATGTTCCTCGAGAAAGCGGTGAGTTTGGTCACTCGTCTGTTTTTCTGGTCTTCCAGCACTCTGCCATAGTCCAGAATTCGGTTTGATGCTTCCTTGCAGTTTCTTGTTTATAGGCATGGATGGGTGAACAGGCTGATTGCAAGCACAGTAAAACCTGTAACTAACGGCCACCCCTTGGGGCCGGAGAAAGCGGTCTTTAGTGGCAGGTGGTCCTTAGTTAGAGGTTTGCACCGCACTGCCATAATTATATGAATGTGAGGTCGTCCGTGCCTGGCGAAGTGGTCTTTAGTACCAGGCTGTTCGCTAGTCACTGTGGTCTTTAGTTACAGGTTTTACTGTAGTACCAGGCTGGTCGCTAGTCACGGTGGTCTTTAGTTACAGGTTTTACTGTAGTACCAGGCTGGTCGCTAGTCACGGTGGTCTTTAGTTACAGGTTTTACTGTAGTACCAGGCTGGTCGCTAGTCACGGTGGTCTTTAGTTACAGGTTTTACTGTAGTACCAGGCTGGTCGCTAGTCACGGTGGTCTTTAGTTACAGGTTTTACTGTAGTAGCAGGCTGGTCGCTAGTCACGGTGGTCTTTAGTTACAGGTTTTACTGTAGTACCAGGCTGGTCGCTAGTCACGGTGGTCTTTAGTTACAGGTTTTACTGTAGTAGCAGGCTGGTCGCTAGTCACGGTGGTCTTTAGTTACAGGTTTTACTGTAGTACCAGGCTGGTCGCTAGTCACGGTGGTCTTTAGTTACAGGTTTTACTGTAGTACCAGGCTGGTCGCTAGTCACGGTGGTCTTTAGTTACAGGTTTTACTGTAGTACCAGGCTGGTCGCTAGTCACGGTGGTCTTTAGTTACAGGTTTTACTGTAGTACCAGGTTGGTCGCTAGTCACGGTGGTCTTTAGTTACAGGTTTTACTGTTTACTAAATACAGCATTTCTCACTGCTCTCGTCCTATGTTCAAATATTCAAAATCACTCTGTCAAGTGATGGGTATAACTGATGGATTTTGTGGTTCTAGTGACGAATGCATGGAGAGTTTTTTTAGTAGACAAGTGCGGTAGGAATATGTGTGTGTGTGTGTGTGTGTGTGCGTGCGCGCATGCTCGTGCGCGTGTGTGTGTCCTGCGCACGTGTATGGAGTCTATGGACGGACCAGAATTTTATATTTGTGACAATGTGTACGTGTGTGTGTGTGTGCATCATCACCTGCAGAAAGATCTTGGCGACCGGTTGCTGTCAGCGTTTGGTACCTCATCCGGCATTCCTTACTCCGACATCAATCTTCACACACACCGCGCTCATGGCCCCAAGTGGAGTCCGGAAAGCTCCACTGCCGAAGTCACCACACTTCAGCTGGAATTCAGATATCTCACGCATCTGACCGGCGATAAAAAATATCAGGTGAAATTTTTTGGAAATTTTGTAGAGATATTTACGACGATTGCGGTGTAATACCGTAATGGTGAGGAAGGAGATTCAGACATGATTAATTGGCTGCAGTGGAGCCTCCGCATATTGAAGACAGTTTTGTCGAGTGCAATCAAATATTGCTTGTCCAGTTTTCTCTTCTCTTTGCCAGTTTCCTCACCTGTCGGATGAAATCGGCTGGAGCAAACTTCCAGCAGGCACTTGGATCGCTGTGTAGCTCGTTCCTGCTTATCGCATGGCTACTCTGTTCTGTTTTAGAACTAATGTGTTGTTGTGACAAGTCCCCATCCAGTATGGAGTGGTTTCACATCCTTATCATGTGACTAAGTTTGTATAGAAAGCGATGGTATGTGGACAGTGGAACCAACATGGCCAGCATCACGTGACCCATAGAGGATGCAGGGGTTGAGTGGAGTTGGAATCAACATGGCAGTGCCGTATGATCACACGTGATATAGATGTGAAACCACTCTATACTGGTGTGGCCGGCCCACACCCATGGGGCGGAGCGGCTTCACCTCGCCTCTCGTCCTGCTTGCTCTATGTGCGTGCGCTCAGACTGTGTGCTAAGCCGTCTGTGATCGTGGCATGGTGTCCTCGCCCTCTGCTGTCGTTATCCACTAGTACTAGTGTATAAATACTCGTGAAGTGAAGTCCTGGTCCCACACGATTCCGACTTTACATGTTATATCAACTTGCTGTTTTTCTCTGGCTGTTGCAGCAAGCGGCAGATCGTAGCATGGACGTGGTTCAGGCACTGAACCGGCCCGACAGTCTGGTACACATGATGATTAACCCGAACAGCGGTCAGTTCCGTATGGGCACGCTGACGATGGGTGCGCGTGCTGACAGCTACTATGAATACCTGCTCAAGCAGTGGCTGCAGACTGGCAAGTCGGAGAAGAAGTAAGTTTGTTCAAGATTACTACTGTCGTGGACATGGAATCCGGTCGAATGACCGGGGCCGGCGCCCTCAGTTTGTACAGAACGTTGCATGCGGTGCATGTTGAGTGCATGCGTACCCACGGCTGCATGGCCAGCGCCCTGGGGCCGCTTGCCCTCTGACTGGATTTTCATATCCACGACAGTAGTACAAGTGCAGTCAGTTGTGGCCAAAGAAATCCGACCTGTGTATCGAAAGCGGCACCAAGGCTCATGTGGCACTCTGATCGGTTTTTGGAACGTGCAGGATGCAATTGAAATGGGAATGCGGCGCTTCTTTGACTCATGGGTCGAATTTCTTTGGCCGTGGCTTTAGCAGCCGTGTACGATTGTGTTTAGATGAGAGTGAGTTTGGTATGGGCATGGGCACATGGGCATGAAGATGTGGGAAAGGGTGCCTTGCGGGCATGTGTAGTCCAGGGCAGGCGCTTTGTTTACGGGTTTTTTTTTATCTCGTCCCTCACATCTCTGATGTGATCCATGTGTGTGTGTGCGTGTGTGTGTGTGTGTGTGTGTGTGTGTGTGGGTCTGTTGCCAACGGGCTCGGCTACTTGAAGGTGTAATGTTGTACTTGCCACCTTTGTTGGTTGCAGAGTTCATAATATACTTTCTATTTGAAGTATACATACCTGTTAACCATGGACTGCTTCTGGCTAGATTAACTCTTGTGTAATCAATGGTGCTAGTGAAGCTTATATCAGATCCACTCTGATTTAGCCACCCACACTAGTAGCAAGTATTACCTTCACTGGGGGCAGGGGTAACTGCAGTTGGATCCCTGGACGGATACCCTGATGCCGTCAATCCTTTTTCTGCACCTTGTCCTCACCCACTTACTGAGGTGTGGTGAGCCCATAAGTGGGATCATTTTCAAGTCCACCCAGAGTTTTGGGGATTTCAGGGGGTGTCGGCCGTTGGGCGGTTCAATAGCCAATTGAGTCATCTTTCTAAGATTCCTTTTGAGTCTCTCTCCCCTCTCCCGGGGAGACCCACGTGACCAGTTTTGGCAGTGAGCAACAAGTACAACAAGTACAAGTGTGTGTGTGTGTGTGTGTGTGTGTGTGTGTGTGTGTGTGTGTGTGTGTGTGTGTGTGTGTGTGTGTGTACATGTATGTGCATGTACGTGTATACGTGTGTGTGTGTGCTTGTTTGTTTGCATAGATTCCATGACTGGTACGTGGACAGCATGATGGGAGTGGAGAAACGTCTGTTACGCAAC